GTCATGTGAAGGCAACAGAACTTACGTAACGCATACGTTTTTTTTTATAGTTTTTCATTTCTCGATGCGTCCTTAATGTGTCGGAATATACCGCGTTTACCCTAGATGACTAGTTAACTTGATTGAGGCGTTGCCAACACAGGATTGGATGTAGAATCACACGCGATTTCAGAAGTGCGGCGGTTTCTAATGTGCTCAGTTTATCAATTTTCATTGCAGTGGAAGGTGGTGTAACGCGGTGGTAGCCTGGCATAGTGGCAAACCACAGCTTTTTTAGAATCAGTTCATTTTTAATTTCCTCATTTAGCCAAGATTTGATACTGCTGGTATCCAGGATACTTTACTGGTCTACTTATAGGACTCACAAATGAACTAGAGGCAGAGTCTAAAAAACTCTCTGCTTTGCCACTATGTAGCCTGGTACTCCACAGTCCACACTGTTAAATAAATTGGTAGGTTTGCATTCTAAAGGCTTTTATATAAATATGGCAACATTTTGTAAAGTTTCATTGTTGCAAAACACTAATGCGGTGTTTTGAGTGACGTAAAGCAAACAGAACTTGAGTTGCGCGTACGGCATAGTGACAAAGCAGAGAGTTTTTTAGACTCTCCCTCAAGTTCATTTTTGAGTCCTATAAGTAGACTATGCATAAAAAAGCCTTATAAATATAAGGCCTAAGGGATTAGGGAACTTGGGTTATGATGAGACTTTACCATGGTTAAATCTTTACTCTTTTACTTGACAAGTTGACAAAACTGTCAAAACAAAACTCACATTAGGAAAAGGTGACTAAGGTGAGTTTTGTCAAGTCAAAGAGCCTATAGACTTTATGTTCACAGGCTCACACTCACAGCAAACCAAAATGAATCATGGACATGCCGACATGGTGTCACTGACTCACTGTCACAGCTAACTGCTACAGTACTAGGGAAGTGCTAACACAGCAGAGACTTTTTTAGACTCTCCCTCAAGTTCATTTTTGAGTCCTATAAGTAGACCAGTAAAGTATCATGGATACCAGCACTATCATACTCACTATCATACATAAATCTTGAGTTATTGAGGAAATTGAAAATCAACTGATTCCAAAAAAGCTCTGGTTTGCCACTATGGCGTACAGTGTATTTTTTATAGCCATTCATTTTTTGCTACATCCTTTAAGTGTTGGAATATACCACATCAGCGCATTTACCCTAGGCCTAGCCTCACCTAGGCCCTAGGGCAATGCTGATTGCTGGGTGCTGGCCAATGGCCCAATGGACAGTAGTGGCAAAGCAGAGAGTTTTTTAGACTCTCCCTCACTACTACCGACTATGACTAGGTAGGTACCAGCTGGTAGCTAGTAGCTACCTGGTCTAGTGACTCTAGAGTCTAGTCATAGCCTCATAGGCTAAAGTTAAATTTTGAGTCCTATCATCCTATGACTATGAGTAGACCAGTAAAGTAGCATAGATAGCAGCATTATCATGGCATACATAAGAAATTGGTTTAAATCTTGAGTAGAATAGATGAGGAAATTATAAATGAACCGATTCTAAAGAATCTGTAGTTTGTCTCTGTCCCTACGATTAATGAATCAATTTTCAGTCGTAACCATTTAACATCTTAATATATTTAAAATTAAATCATCTTTCAAATGTTACGAACCAGCGACAGGCCTACGGTCTAATAAACGCTGAACCGCTATTATTATATTTGACGACTACTGAGCTATTTTGATTGCGATATAAAGATGTAATTTAGTTTTGCTTAGGAAATCGTTTCTATTGCAGGCCGGAAAATTTAGCGCTGCTGGCGAGGTAAAGCGAAATTTAGATTGGAGAATGTGGGGACAGTGTGACGGACTGAGCGAGAAGCAAGAAAGGCGTACCACATGGATACATCCTGTAGCCGCTTCTCTTCAACCTTTTCACAGGAAAGGTGGCTACTAAGGTGAGACGAATATACGTAGGTGTGCGAAAGGAACACATAATGCTTCCTATGCTGTAATTATATGTTAAAATATTCAAGAACCACAATATATACTAGGCCGCATAACAGAGTATGGTGGAGATTTCTAAGTGCGTTTCAGTGCCGAGAATAACCGAAAACACGTGAATGGATCAGCTGAGGATAAGGTGCCAGTTGGCAGGTAATGAGATTGTATGACCTCGTCGTGCACCTGTACGTGCGTTGGGTGTGATAAGACGCACACACAGGTGGAATGATAGCAGGGAGGAAAAATGTTTCTTGTGTGTTGTGGATTTGAGAGAACAAGTGAGGAATGGATTTGAAAGGCGATGCAACTCACTCGATTGCCGAATAACAGGAAACTGGGTATACAAAAATTTCAAATTTTTCAAATTTAGCCGAAAAACATTCTTCACTTAACCAGAACAGTGGAAGGTCATTACGCAAGACGGCAAGAAGAATGACTAAGTCAAATGGCAAGAAAAAGATTTACAAAAGGAAAAACACTGAGTAAAGAAAAATTTTTTACGCTAGTATAAGAGTTATTATGCAGCGTGAATGACCGATTTTAAGGTCTTGAACGGAGGTCAGCTCGCACCCAAATCCAAAATTCGTCAAATGGGCGCATCACGTGAATGTTGAAGTTGGTAATAAAATAAATCTGGCTTTCATTCTCACTCAACGAGAAAGTTAAACAATGATAATGACTTTTAAATGAAAGTAAACAGCGTGTAAGTCAGAAACACCGCTGCAGGGGTGTGCATATGCCATAACATAAACCAAAAGTCTGCGATTTCCTGAAACTAACTACAGGTATTGCCTACGTAGTGTCAAATCGTATACTGAAGGATCGAAATAACCAATAAAAACAAAAATTGTATCCGAAGATTTTTATTTTATTTTTTTCCAATGTGTAAATTTCTCTTATTTGGACTTGTAACTCGTATGGAGCGTGGTTATAACCAATCATCTTAAATAGTTTTATTGTGGCGCGAGCAGGCAAACAGGCTGCGATGGGAAATAAAGTGGATATTGGCACAATAACAAAAGATTCTCGACTCGAGTCACGATCTTCATGTTCTCACTATAAAACGACTAATACATTTCTATATAAGAAATTTATTATACCATGGCCAGCACCACGCTAAAAATATCAAGTACACCAACATAAAGAACAGCTCACAAATATGAATAGAATATTACAGACAACATATCTTACAGAACTATTGATGCCATCTATTGGTAATGAAAAATGACCGTCCTAGCTGAACAGAGATGAGGTGCAGTGTGAGTTTACATCAGGTTAGGTGGCGTTATTTCGAGTCTCAAGATCTGCCGATCTATTCGCAAATTTTACAGAATAATCACAAATTTATCTCATTTTCCAATGAAAATGACTGGCCATAACTTGCAACTTTAATCCAGTTTTCGTAATGTACTACACAGAAACAAGTTGCATGTGTAATTGTAGGACTAGAGTTCGCATTTGAGCACTCATTATGCATCGTCGCAGAGAGAATCTTTCGTACATTTGAGCATATAACATTAAAAAGTGATTAAAAGCAAACAGACTACAAGAGCCGGAGTCTGCAAATTATCTGGACCCGCTCTAAAAAAATGTATAATTCAGTACTCACTGCAGTGGGTAACAGAGAGCGCATTTTCTCGTCGACGAAAACGTGTGAAGTCTCGGACGGACGGACGGACATGACGAGCAGAATATAGCGTTTTTTTTCCATACATAAGAAAATGCGCTAAAAATCAACGCCACGACTTTGACTATCAGGACCGCGGTCTCGTCCAACTATGCAAAGCATGACTGTAGAGGACTGAGAAATGCTGGAGGCTAACAACTTAAAAAATTCCCATATAGTAAAATTATACGACACTCATTTGTCATAACATTGAAATCGAATCGATTGACTCGACAAACAATTCGATAATAGCTCAAATCACGATAACAAATGCATCCACGACTTAACACGAGGGAATTTATTATTTTCTAGTAGTTTTCTTCATAAAGTACGAACTTTTCAACTAAGAACACATTTTACACTAGACCTGCAAAAAATTTACATCACCCGGAATTTCTTATTCGCTCCATCCCGACGTGCGTTTTACATCGCCGGATATATCAATAGCAGTTGCTCCATGTAATTTTCACTCACTAATGTTTATTAATTTCAGAGAAGAATGGAATGGTGCGAATGTCTCTTCGGATAATAACGCGACAGCGCCAACCGCGCAGCTACGGCGGAGCTCTTAACCGTCAACCACAAAAGCCTTAACATTCGATCGTAGCAAAACTTACGAATTGTTGGGCATCAGCCGCATCCACAGAAGCTAATCGACCGAATATCTGTTACATTGTTACTTGCAACAACGAAATCCGAGTATTTAAAATAGAGAGCTCAAGTTCCAGGAACACGCACAACGCATAACTAACTACCTATTAACATAGAATATCATAGATAACAACAACTATACATGTACAAAATGATACATCCGTCTCAAGAATTCCCAGTAAAATATCATTTTCATTAGTACCTATATTGACGCCTCGTTCAGCCAACACATAACAAAAATTACGGCACTCCTCTCACAGCTTTTAAGATGGAGAACTGAACTTAGGACTAGAATGCGATGACAATCAATCAGAAGCTACAGCGATGTTTGCATTGGACGTTTCTAACTAACTCTACATAGATAATTATACAAAATTCTCTAAATATTCCTACATGTAAATTTAACTGTGGTGTGATTGGCAATAGGTTATTTCAGTTAAAGGTGTAGCAAAATGATTAATCACAGAAATTATGATGTAATGTAATTTGATCTGAGAATTAGAAGAGGCAAATAAGGACTAATACAAGGCACTTTACAATCACAGTTGATCTTAAAATATGACCCTTGAATCAATGAAAATAATATTTGTAAACAAATATAATTTCAGGCTAGTATTGCCAAACAAAGCGACAACGACGAGGTTCAGTTTTGCCATCAAGACTAATAAGAAACAGAGCAGAGGTGCTCTCAGCTCAACAGGTAGAAGACAATGAGCCAAGACCACGATGCGAACTTCAGCTAGAGAAATTTAGAAAGATACAGTAAATACGGCAATAGTAAGTAAAGAGTGCATCATTCATACCGTCACAGACGATTTGAAGTCGATGTGAAACTCGTTCTGAAGGCGGAAGCTCGTCAATTAGATTTTAATTTAAGATTTTTAGTCAAGGGGAAAAAAGGAACAATTCCATTAAATACGATAGAGAAAACTTTCTAGATAGAAGGCTTCATTAGAATTTAGGAGGGCAGTCGTCAAGCGAAGCAGCCCACCTTTATAGGTTCTTTTACCCCTAGGTGCTGCGAGAGTCGTTGACAAAGTATTTAAATATAATTTAGGGAGACAATTGTCGATGGCAGCAAACAGTTCAATAATATCCGTCATCCTAGGAGTTGAGGGAGGCGATGTCGAAGTTTTTAACTGCGTAGTCGTGGAAGTAAACAAGGATACCGAGAGGCTGTCCCAGGATAAGAGAGGACCAGACGATGATGTTGCCCCAGCGGCAACCTAGCGTGCGGGCCACCGTTTGAGATACGGTGATCAGCGGCACCTGCAACATAGGAGCAATCAAGCATACAAAAATTAGGAGCAATCAAGCAAATTTAAAAAAAAATAAGCAAATTTGTTAGAACATTTAATCGCTTTTAATATTGTGTAACCATTGAGATTGGAGGATGAAATACTTACGAGTAAAATTAGTGATAAAAACAATAACTAAATTCGATGGGTTATATCGGTAGCGGGGTTTGCAACAATACAAAAATTAGCGGCAACGACGCAGATGAAAAACAAACAAATTTGTTAAAACAATTAATCGGTTTTAATAATGTACAACTGTTAAGATTGGAGGATGAAATATTCAGGAGTAAAATTAGTGATGAAGTAATAAATAAATTCGACGGGTTATAGCGGTAGCGGTGTTTGCATTAATACAAAAATTAGGAGCAACGACGCAGATGAAAAACCAACAAATTTGTTAAAACAATCGGTTTTAATAATGTGCAACTGTTGAGATTGGATGATGAAATATTTAGGAGTAAAATTAGTGATGAAGTAATGACTAAATTCGACGGGTTTTAGCGGGAGCAACTGACCTGCAAGACCATACCGATGAAGACATGAATCTTGTACATTTGCAGGGGTACAGACACGAGGTATTCATGCAGCAGCGCAGAGAACAGGAACACTAAGAGCGAGGCGAAGAACTTGTTGTGCGAGTACTTCATCACCGGCACAAACAGGTGCCTGAGTATAGCACAAGATAAAGAGATTTTACAATCTTTCCAAACGTAAGTCTTAGTAATAATAATAACTTGTACTAGCCCAGAAGATTTACTCATACTTGATGTTAATAAAAAACTTGCAATGGGCAAGCGTCTCCAGTACAACAGCAGTGGCCACACGCCAAATAATCCAAGCACTTCCGAACCTGACGGCCCACTTATGCACGGGTAGATTCCAGAGCCGCCAGAAGGTTCCGACGTCTTCAGCGTTCCACCAGTCGTCGTAAAAGTGGCGGTCGGCGAAACGCAAAATTTCGCCCGTCGTATTCAGGAACGAGTGGAAGACGATGTAGAAGCACGTCAGCCATAGCAAGTGGTTGGGGATCTGGGGGATATGTGGGAAGAACATGTTTGGGTGCAGAAAAATTAGGGCGGGAAGGCAGGGAATTGGGGTAAAAACATGTTTGTGAGCGATAAAACTCTGTTGATTAGGGGTGAAAACAGGATGGAGATTATTATGGAGTTGGTTATAGCAATTAATAATGTAGACGAACATGAATGATGGGATATTGGAAATGGATTTTCGGAGGCAAAGGAATCTTAGGAAACTTAGGATTTGGAAACAGGATGGGCGAGATGAAAGCGGTGAGTGGTTCAGACGAATTATTACAATTAAAAAAATTAAACTTAAAAATGAAAGATATAGAAATGATTTGAAGATAAGACTTTAGGACAGACAGATCGAGCAAGGTAAATCAATTAAAAATAGGATAAAAATTATTTATGATTCTAATTTTTAGCATTAAAAAAAATGATGAATATAGATTGGCAGAGACTATCGAGAAACCTAATTTAAATTCATAAATGTTGAGCAGCGTAGAAGACGCAGATTAAGAGTTTACTTCTGGTCTGTGCTCGGTCAGTCATCGATGACCATTATTAATAAAAAAATCACTGTAGCCCATGGGATTTCTGTAATTTTGCGAAAATTACAAGTCAGAGTGGAACACGATCATGTTCACAATACCGCTCAGAGCAAAAAAATATTTGCTATGGTCAGGTACACTGGATTACTCACCGACAACTTCAAAAGCCTCTCCCACGTTCTAATGAAGTCCATGTCCTGTGGGGGAAAACAGAGTGGTGGATGAAACCTCAAAATATTAACTTTGCAAAGTCCAAGTTAAGGCGTCAATTGAAAATCGATATAAAAAATCCTGCTTGTGAATTTTTGAATAACATATAAATTCCATTTGGCTGATTATGTTATAAGTCCTCATTATGTTCCGCCAATCTAGCGGAACACTTCATGCCAATCTATTGAAAATATCTTTTTCAATACATTGAGTCCAACTCCATGCCAAGGAAATTTTGATGCAGTGTTTTTATCTCGATCAAAATATTCAGACAAATTAGCTAGTCCTGAGTTTTAAAATATATCTCGATTTTATCAGTTTTTTTTCAAAACGTCTTTTAACATGACCATAATTGCAATATTAAAAAAAATCATTCGTCATACCCATACGTCTATGATCAGCACAGGCAACTCATACACCGTAAGAAAATGTGTTTTTTTTTTTTTCTCGACCTCGTAAGGCGAAGCCGCTAAGTCGAGTGTTATAACCAAGACGTGTGTTCAAGATTCGCAGATTTTTTCCTACAATTTTGAAAATTTACAGCTATGTTTTAAATGTGCGATATTGAACAAGCTCATTCCAAAATTGTTACAAAGGACATCCTATTAGACATCAATTGAAATAAAATCAACAATAACCATTTTTGATCGAACAATACTGTTAAACATAATTATAACTGAATTAGAACGGAAGAGTTCTTCCCATACAGAACAGGACCAATTAACAATAAAAGCATAGAATCTAGATCAATACGACTACAATTAGCTTAGTTGACCACTAGAATTTAATTCATTATGACCATCTATTTTATTGTCTTACCTTCTATTATCTTATCTTCTATTATATTATCTTCTCTGATCTTATCGTCTATTATCTTATCTTCTATTTTATTATCTTCTAGTATCTTATCTTCTATTCTATTATCCTATCTTCTATTATCAAGTACTAGGAGTCTCGAGTCACTAGGACTAGGGCTGACCGAGAAGGGTTTGAAGGAGTTCTTCACGCTTGGGATCATCCACTGCTGGAAGAGCGCCATCACCAGGTTACTCAGCACCAGCACCTCCAGGGCGCGCCGGAACAGGAACCTGGGTGACAACGCAGCATTGCAGTGTAGTCATGGTGACATGGAATGGGTCTTAGTAACTTCAACAGGAACCACGAATAACAATAATTGCGATGTTATATTAACAAAAATTATTTTAACCCAAAACCCATCGCCAGCAAATTTTTCCGATGAGCCTACAAAAGCAATAAAATCCGACGAAAGCCTCTAGCTGACTGCCCCTCGGGCTAACAGGAAGATAACTAACAACTACGTAGCTAACTACGCATTCATGCGGCAATAATAAGAAAAGTAACAATGACTTAGAACTCTGATACGGCAGCGATAAAAGCAACAAGACTAAGGAATGAAAATTGTGCCGACATCGTTGCTGCCACGTGATGATGACTTTTGGAGCTGAGTGGTCGGAAGTCTTCAAGCAAAACACACTTTTAGTTGCGACAACTACATACACAAAAGAAGAGTTGAAAGATGCGCAACAACAATAAGATAACTTAACGATGAAGGCCATAATCAAAAAGAGTTGTAGCAAGGGTAACAATAACTCACCACTTCCTGATGCGCGAGGTGCGAGGGAAGTTAAGCTCGTAGCAGAGGGTGGGCGCGAGCAAGAAGTAGTAGAGGTCCCTCAGCGTGAGGTTGTCGGGGTACCGCACCAGCCGCTCTGATGACGCGCCGCTTGTCAGGTACTCGTCTGCGTCTGCAGCACCACAATAGCGCAGGTTATGAGAGGTAATGAGGCAGGTATCACTGAGACGACGTATGTATGGTTACATGGGTTTATCGTCAGCGTCTAAGTATCACAGAGACGATGCATGGTTACATACTACCACATCGAGCGAGTCTAAATCACTGCAATCACGTAATGTCTGCGTATAATTGAGATATGGACCACAGATACACGATAATTATTATTACACTAATTTAGTGTACATTGTAGTTTGAACGAGCAATACTCTCGTCAGGCGACTAGTAGTCTAACTTCTAATCAAAACATTTAAAATGAAACGTCGAACAATTTAATAGTCGGTTTTCATTTTCAGGAAAAATTTCGAACAAGCCACAAGGTAACCGAAATCACGCATATTGAGGGCTAGAAATCATCAACGCTTATTTCTGGGCTCATAAATAAAAATAAATTTTCACATCTACATCAACTTAGAAGTTCGCCTATTCCCTTCTTCAGTACAGTACGAACACTTCACCCTTTGTCAACAGCGGGTAGTTCTAGTTCTACTAGCTCAAGCCCCTATAATACAGAATGTCTACCAAAATTTTGATAACCGAATACTCTTGAAATCCAACATTGTCTCAAGGTTAAACCAGGTATTGCAACATATTTTCAGTAATACCATAGTTTACTTAATAGGTGCTAATGTTCATAACTCTTCGATTGATGAATGCTCTCAAAAATTAGTGTATGAAAAAAAAAGGAAGCAACACTTGGAATCTTTGCCAGATTATCTTGTGTTAGGCAGTAAACATTTTTGTGAAAGAAAAAATTCATCACTTCGGGAAAGTTCGCGTTCCAGCTAGAAGCCAGTAGATTAGCATGTCTCACAGCCTCACAGGTAGGGCTTTACATTCACCATAGCATTGAAACGTTTTAGAGGTCTATAGACAGAAGGACATATGATTTATTCTGTAGGCTTCAGAGAACAAAATCACCCTCTCACCAGCCATAACCTTCTCGGCGCCGAGGTTCCTGAAGGAATGGCTCCTGCCGCGCAGGTTCTTACGCTTGTCGTTCCTGTCGTCTCTGCACCAGTGGTTGACTTGCACGTACGACCACAGCTTCAGCAGCATGATGGTGTGCACCGTGCAGATCACCATTCGACCAACTGCATACAATTGAATAATATTAAAATAATCGAGTGAGTATTTGCTGTGTCAGGCAAAAAGTACCGTCTGACCTGGAATCATTCTAATTATTCGACTTATTTTATTAGATTAACAGGATAATTTCAGACATTAATAATTACACCAGACAAATAACTAAGCGACCAACTGCGCTTAACAAACCATGCTTAAATGATAAGTTCATCAAATAATCAATTCATGGGAGTTCAGTTCAGACAATCGAGGATTGTAATTAATGAAGGAAAAAAAATTTCCTTCTAATAACTGTCCATCTGTACGGTTCTTCATATTAATTTGTCTCTGCATGTCACTCTGGTTCATTTAGAGCCTCGCAGCGGAGGACGCGCTCGATATTTCTCCCGCCAAAATCTTTGTACTTAATTAAGGTACGCGGATGAATCGCATACGAAAGATGTTAATTCTAATGTACGGACCAATTCCTATTGTCTAATTTACGGACGGTTAGGTTTATCTAAGGACAATACACTTTTTCAAAACACGAGCTTGACCAGTAAGAGAAACACTGAGGGAGTAAGTTCGAAATTCAGTTTAGGGATTAGAGAGTCCAGAAGAACATTGAATATAGCATCTATATCACGATCTGATTAATAAGGATTGGCAAAATATAACGGAAAGAGATGAATATGTAATCTAATACGAAAAGCATATTTAGTAATCCTTAAAAACATGTATATAGTTCGAGGCATACGTGAAGTGTGCACAGTAAGAAGCACACTACACTAATGTGGCACTCACGTAGACTGAAAGCATTCGGGAATGCGTTGAAGACAACCATAGGAGTGAGGACTATGACAAGCAGCTGGAAGGCGTGTAGGTACCAGCCTAACCAGCTCGGCAAGACGTCCTGCGCATTACGCAGGCTTGGTATCACAGACACAATATTATAGTGCACGTAAGGCTAGTGTCAGTAGTTCCAGTTAATTGGTAACTAGAGTAACGCTTGTTATATCCACTAACGAATGGTTAAGCTTTACCAATTCCACAGAGTAGGGAAGAACGTTTTCAGTGGGCGAGTACAAACACCTGAAATTGGTAATTTACAAACTATAAGTCACACGTAATTTTAGCTTGAATATTAAATCTCGTATGCAGTTATTAGGAAGTCGTTGGTCTGGACACATACTATAAAACTACCCGGTATTACAAATATTTTATTGGTTCTAATGTTTTATTTTCAACAGCTCGAAAGGTCCGTCCCGAGTAAGCTTCAAAGCAAAAGTAAACGTACCTCAATCCAGGGACTGAACTAAATTCTACGCGAGTATTTGATTCACTAGTGGTTAGGTCACATCTAACAAAATTTAGTCATGAGAAGCATTATTGCATGGATAAATTACGAATATATATCAAATATTGTGGTTATAATTTTCAGCCTGGGTTGTGAAGTGGACGGATTCCTCCCCATATTAAAGGAACGAAGAATAGTTTCTTGTACCGCCCGGTCGTCAAGGGTACTGAGAGCTTTGATATTACATCAAACGCGCTTCTTTTTAAATTCATTGAAGTATGCCCGAATAAATTCAATCATCACATGATGTTGAAGTGGCTATATAAAGTATGAATGTAAATTTTCGTTCGATCTATGGTCCGCACAACTTGTGCGCTATGCCAGCGTTAATTTACTTTTTCGACAGAGTTAATCCAGTATATATCAATAATACTTAACTTTCTACTCGGTGTGATTGGTTATAACCTACAAACAGGCTACCTTCGCGTTGTCTGGGACAGAAAAAATCCCAGCAATTGGATCTCGTTAGTAAGATAGAAATTAATGCAAGATAGTTCAAGACTGGTTAAAACTGAAATATCACATAGATCATACAGTGTGATTCAAGGAAACTTCCAGGTTTTGTATTTCGCGCCAAGAAGCAAGACGTTGTAGGAAAAGTGCGGAAAGTATTTCATATGAAAGGCAAGGTCATGAAGTTTTGTGCCCCGCCTTGTCAGTTGCCACTATGCATTGGACAAGTGAGCAGCGTGCGTTTGCTGTCGAGGCGTACTTTTCTAATGGTCGTTCCATTATCGCTACTCGACGAGCATTCCGTACCCGGTTCCGTATTCGTTCTTCAAGTCGGGTTATTGATCCGAAATGATTATTACGTGGGTGAATGTCAGGGATGTTTGGTTCCAACAGGACGGAGTCACGGCCATCGTCATGCCCAGGGGATGTTCTGAGACAACATTTTGCACAGCGCCCCATCTCCTTGAGAGGCGACCTTCTTTGACCGGCCCGATCCTCCGATTGGATCCGTGAAAATTTTTTATGAGCTTATCTTGAATCAATTGCTTACAAAGACTGTCCAAGGGCCCTCCCTCATTTGAAGAACAACATACGCCAAGCCGTCACCAACATACCAGTCAATTTAATATGCTTCAGCGAGTTGAACTGAAATTTAAAGATCGACTAACCAAATGCATTGACAATGGGTACGGTCATTTGTCTGACGACATCTTTAAAATTGTGATAGAAAAATTTAGGTAATGTCTTTTGCAATAAAATTGTTATTCTAATGATATCTTTGCTAGTACTTTTTTATTGAGATTTTAAATCCGGAAGTATCCGTGAATCACTCTGTAGAACAACCATTTGACTCTCGTTTCAAGATATATAAAACTATTTATTTCACAAAACAATTTAAAAATAGAATTTTAATGTGAAAATATAATTTAATAAAGTTTATGTCGGTGTGTTTGAGCCTAATGCTAGTTCTATGCTTATTGTGGTTTGAGATAAAACTTTACTTAACGTATTTATTTGATTCGGGAAGACGGGATTCGGCAAAACTTGATTCTTAAATTGCATCGATTAATTATCCATAACAGAATACGTCGGGATGCACTAGCTAGTTGTTTCAAAATTGTTAATTTGTACAAAAACAGTTCATTAAGTATCGAATTGATTGTAATCAATTAATTTGCGTACATCGATCAACTACCTTAATACTTCTAAATCTAAAAAGATGTTTGCGAGTATCACGTCACTTTATTATCATTTATAGCATAATTATTTATCTGCTTCGCAGCTGATACGTAGTGCCCAGTTGGAAACGTTTGTTTTCTAGCTCCAATCATCGCCATTTTTATTTCCTCAGTATACGGAGGTAATCTTGTTGATTTATTCTTCAGTGTCACGGACTTAAAGATGAGATCAAAATTTAAACTGGACCTGATATACTTTGTACGCAATGGACACCCACCTTGGCGAGGAACTTCTCCACTTTATACGCGTACAGGTAGTGTAGGTTAGAGCCTGTAGTAAAGGATATTGTGTGATCAACATAAATGTATGATTTGAAAATCTTTCGTTAAGTCACTAATACAGAAATTGATATAAATAAAGCATATGAAAAAGCACACATGTTATTATGCAAATTTCAGGAAACAATCGAGGAAAATAATCCGAACAAGAAACGCATATAAACGGCCATCAACCGAGAAATTTAGTAACACCTTGAAAAACAAAAAAATCAGTAGAGGGTAGCAAATGCATGCCAAAACTTTACTGCGCCTTGTGAATAATTTCAACGACGAATCAAAATTTGTGAATTACTTTAGCGATGAGCAAGCAGCAAAGGAATATGGTGATGTGAAATTACGAGGCGCGTTTTCAAGCAAGTACCGTTTTAAAATTATGCCGCCGTGGCGCTGCCATTTGACGCATGGCTGCCGTGCAATTCTATATGCTGGGAGTCACATAGGTCATTACGGAACGAACCTATCGATTACTCATTTGTATTAAAAGTGTTAAAAAGCCAACACTTGTAGAGGATTCCGCCGACAGCAGCGTGCGCGCTGTAATGCGTTCGCTCAGAACTGAAGGCTTCAGAGTAAGTTGCTTTCATTGCTGAACTACTGATTTTCATTCCGGAAACATTTGGACCAAGAGAATGGGGTGTAAAATAGGTTAGTGCCTACAGAGATGACCGTAAAAATATTCACGATGAAGAACGAATTGGGCGACCTCCCCCAAACCGGGCAAGATCGTCCCTGACCGCGTCGAACTCAGGGCTACCGCTACACACGCGACCACGAATTGTTTTTGCAGTTGAAGACGCTCGAAGAAATACACACATCGAAGAAATCGCAACATCTAAGAATTCAATATTAATGTAGTATTAGTGGTAAAAAGTTTACTAGCAATTCAATATTAATGAAAAACGTGTAAAAAGTGAAGTTTGCCTTTTCATGTCAATACGCGGGATTAGGCACATTTTTACCTCTTAATTCTTCAAAACAGTTGTTAAGAAAACACCATTCGTATGTTATTCAAGGTGCAAAAACGAGCAACTATTATAACAGAAAACAGATTTGCGGCAAAGGAAGAAAAATTCAGTGGATAAGAGATTCCTTTAGGTCTCCCCGATCAATGGATAAGGGATTCCTTTAGGTCTCCCCGATCAAAGGATAAGGGATTCCTGTAGGTCTCCCCGATCAATGGATAAGGGATTCCTTTTAGGTTTCCCCGATCAATGGATAAGAGATTCCTTTAGGTTTTCCCCGATCAATGGATAAGGGTAATTGGTTTAGGTTATCCCCGAATAGCTAGAGAACAGACCTAGCAGCCAGAGGGGTGTGTTGTAGTAGTTCTCTCGTTGATGTTCCTCTTGCACCCACCGCAGCCAGTCAAGAGGGTTAACTCGCACACCGTACCTTGTAATATAAGTCACGCAATCAGGATATACAACGAACGAAAATTATTCTAACTAATCACTGACTGATAAAATAGGATTTTCTAAATCTGTCATAAGCATAGGCGTTACTAGGTTTTAATGAAATAGGGGCTAAACCCCAGGAGAGATATATAGGATGTGAGCAAACGTTCAATTTCATGAACAGCTAACATCTTTAGTACAGTACAATTGCAAATGCTGGAAGTACTGTATCTTTACAGTTTTAATAATTCAGCTCATATTTTCTTGTGGGCATTTATTGCACAATAATAATAATTCAATAAATGAACAATAATTATTTAGGGAGGCTTAGGAATATTTTAAGGGCCTAATCCCCCATGAAGGACCGTATGACGTCATACGGCCGTACTATAGCCCGTAGGATGTCACTGGTTATAACTTAACTCATCCTATTAATCTATTTTAACCGACTTGTATAATATATAATAAGAGCGCTACATAATACCGGAATTGATAGAGGCTTAGAAACAGAGCAGTGAGAAAAAATTGTATTAATATTGAATTAATACTTAAATAAAACATAACCTGACCCTAAGAATTGAAATCTACAAAATATACAGAATATATCTATCGTACTTGCATCTAGATTCTAGATCCAACAATCGTATTCCAAGTTTAAAACCACTTTCAATACCTCTAATTACACTTAGCTAATTAAGTTCAAAGAGTTCATCTGAGTGCAGCTTCAAAGGCAAGGAATACTAGTATACCTGAGATGAAGAATAATAATTAAATTTAATATTCAAATATGCCAGTATGTGTTCGTACATATTAAATTCAATAATTATTCTTTATTGTGTTCAATATGCCATTATGTGTTCGTACATATTAAATTCAATAATTATTCTATATTATGTTCAACAAGCCATTATGTGTTCAATATGCCGTTATGTTTTCGTACATACAAGATATTATCGAATACGACGATACTTCAGTGTTAACAAATTCTATAGTATTAACAAGATAAGCATTCCCTAGAGCCATGAATTGTAGCTTGCACGCGGCAAAAAAATATATTTTTAAGACAAGATCAATTCTATTAATATCTTTAACCAATCAACAGAAGATTATATTAGCATTGAAATAGGAGACGACACCATCGATGAGAAGCAACATTAACTCTCAGCCAAGCGATGATCACAAACACATGATCAGTGAACAGGGAGGCTCTGTGTGCGGGCAGCCGCGGCGTCTGGCTGTGGCGGTGCCATAAATGGCATGGCACTGATAATCACAAAACGGCGAATATTAACTATTGCACTGTTATTGAAGATTTATCTAAAAAACATACTACAACCAATCGATACTTAGTTAAAAAAACATATAATCAGTTAACAGCGACATTTTTAATACTAACTGAACCGTAGCGACAATAATACCTGCGTGGCCATGACAAAAGAATAACATACTAAAGAACATTACCTGTAAACGTGGTTAAGGCAGTACAACATCCGGATATTCGATATACTGCATTTGCTCGTATTACGTGGATGTCACAGTACACGGTACGAATCAATGGCTCAATGGACAACTAAAATCAGAAACCTTTAAACGATTACGCATAATGTAAAATCCATTTAATTGAATAACTCTAAAAATTTTAAATTGCAATCAGCATGACATTCGTAGGAGCGCCATTCAGTATGGGTTAAGCAAAATCGCGCTAGCAACATAGTGCCTATCGCGGCCGACTAAGCCCTTAACATCCAATCAATATTCGTGTTTATGGGTAGAATAACGGTTAAAAGTTCATACGCGATTCACTCTGGTGGCACTGACTGAAAACGTTATGGTCGCAAAAAATGTCACCAAATCCGCCTAACTGCGAATATTAAGGTTACCATGTTTAAAATTTCCTCTCATAAGTCGGGGTTCTAAGACGTACACCAAGCACCTGAAACGTGCACTTGTCCGAGTGATAAGATAGCCGCTCGTGCGATACGAGCGCGACACACTGATATGCCACGCCATGTTTGGTGACAATCATAAACCATCACGGATAATATAAATACTGCGATTCTACAATTTCGATGCTGTCGCTTTAGATACTCGCATGAACTATTATAAGGTCTCTTTATTTATGTACATAATTGCAACCAAGGAAACCGAGGAAATCAATCGAGGAAAACCGATCAAACCAATTAAGCCGACCTTTAATTCGACTAATTTAATTAATTTTGTGAATGTAAATGTTAATAAATGTTAATAAAAATTGTTTATACGCAAGTTCAGTAGACCTTTAATTCGACAAATTTAATTAATTTTGTGTATGTTAATGTTAATAAAATGTCAATAAAATGTTGATAAATGATGTTGATAAAAATAATTTATACGCAAGTTCAGTTGTAGTAAGTACTCACTTGAGGACATTCTCTAGCATGAGGCGGCAGCCGCCGATGGCGAGGATAAGGAAGCCCCAGTTGACGATGCCTTCGTACCGGTCGAACCCTGATGACCACGACAGCAGCGAGTCGCGCGGCTTGTGGATGCTGCAGGCGGGTACAACTTATCAGGTATAATGGCTCGATACATGGCCACTCTGAGTGGGAACTTTGAGGAAATAAGTATACTGACGGTAACATTAGTGACAAAGCCTTTATATAAGTAACCCATTGAATTAATTTCTTTTAAATAACCTTGTGGATGCTGCAGGCGAGTACAACTTACAATCTAAGGTATTATGGCTCAATACATGGCCACTCTGAGCGGGAATTTGGAGATAAATATACTGACAGTAACACCGGCGACCAAGCCTTTATACAAGTAGCCCATTGAATTTCTTATTTGTTTTACCTAAAAAATGTTAGGAAATTCCTTTGTTGCTCAATACGATCCACTGCTCTAAGGACGGCCGTTGTCTAAAGGAAATGGTCTTTCTGATTTTCATCGACGAGAGAATCGGTGGAGAGAGTGAGAATCCGCTTTAAAAATTTTCAGTCAAAACAAGCCGATCTTATACAAGCGTCGTCCCGATAAGCGATAGAACTCGTATCCATTTTCAATATTAAGCAGAAATAGAGAAAAATATAGAGACGTCCCGGAAAAAATGAGAGCTTAAAAATTTCACGGAATTCATTTCTTCTCAACTGAACACGATAATGCATAACGAGACATGTATACCAGTTCGTATATGTATTTATGTTAAATTTAAATACTGAATCCTCGGACAGTTTGAACAACATTTTTCAATCTTCGTCATTTAAATTATATTACGCACAACGTTATTGCTAGTGCCCATCTTGTAAACGAGAGCAGTAATGAAAGAATAGAGAAAAATGACTCAAACGGCCAACTCACAAGACTGCGTAAATGACTCGAAAATTAAACAGATTTCTTTACGGCATTTGAAACTAGTATTGAACGCATACACTACAGTCCGTATTAGGCACGAACATTTAAGGTCTACGAAATACGATACATTATGAAAAAAGGCTCAGGATCAAATTATTCTACGAGTTATACAGCGCTAAGTCGGCCCATCAATGTAACTGCCAAGTTGTGTTCGCAAAAAAATGTCGCCAAATCCACCTCACTGCAAGTTAATTAATAATCAAGCATTTACCATGTTTAATCCCTAATCATGCGCCTGAATGTCCGGAATGTCTTGTCAGGTCTATGATCGTAATAAAATATTTCGATATGTCTTGTATCGTAATGGCATATTACGCATGTCTCGAATCGTTATGGAATATTTCGTTCAGATTTTATTGTAATGAAATATTTCGTTTTGTCTCATGTCGTGTCATGTCATGTCTTGAATCCTTCTGTCATGTCGAACTGTAATAATTTCAGTCTCGTAACGATCCTCCATAACTTCTGGGATATAATTTTTACAGAATTTCACACAGATTCGGGTCAGAATTTTAGTTCCTATTAAAAAACGTATTCGAAGACGATTCTTCCCTTGGTCCCGCAATTTTGCAGGCTATTTCTCGTCTCGTCTCGTAGCTCCGTTTCATTTGAACATACGATTCAGAGACGCAAAGGTTTAGTAAAAATCAGGGAGAGGAACAATGTCTTGAAAGGTTAGGTAGATAAACAAAAAATACTAGAGATGAGTCTCATGAAAGGTTCTTCTGCTGCGCATGTGTCAACTGTGTTTTAGTATAAATAACCCCATTGCAAAGCGTATAGAAGGAGCATAACTTTGTACCGACACATTAAATGGGTTCAGTGTGCAGAGACGCGACTTTTGATTCTGCTCAATTGTTCAATTCACTGTCGGATGGGCGTGTTTATAATTTATTTAAACCAATCAAAGAATTTTATGGAGTTAGTTAGTTAGTATAGTGGCCACATGTTTACTAGCCCTTCAGCTATTTAGCTATCTCGCACCGAAAGTCATATTGATCATCACCAAAGAGGTGGAGGGTCTCGATTATCAAAAGTTTCTCAAATCAAAAATAGGTCATCACCCACAAGAGGTGGAAGGTCTCAGATGTCCAGCCCGCTGAAACTGGCTCGAAAGAAGCAGCGTTAGCATCTCAAAGAGACGAAGTGACAAGGAGGGACAGGTGAAAAGCGACAGAAACGAAGACACTCGAACTAGAGGTCGCTTACACGGGACGCCGGCCACCCGCACGAGAGACAGAGAAGGGAAATTTAAGGAATCCTACCTACATAATAACTCAACCCCACAACTGAGACCAACAGTCAGACACCGCGAGCTCAGCGGTGGGGCGCTCAGGAACAATCCCCCTAGGAGTGCAAAATCGCATAGGATTTCTGACGCGCACAGACACGCGTCCCCCCGAAGAGGGAAACTTTTTTTATGGAACTTTAACTTAAAAGCTACAGACAAATGCCGGGCACTAATCAAAAGCAGTTAAACAAGATGAAAGTATTATACGTAAATGAACGATATTCAAATTAGGACGATTGTTCGCAAAAATTTTGTGAACATATTAATCTTCAATGAAACTACAACAAACGGAAACTCAACAAGTTGGAATAGCGTAGTGAACAATATCTTCGAGATGGACAAAAGCACTATTTATTGTTTTGAGAAAAAAAACTTTCACAACTAAAAATTGTAGCGTTAGAGAAATCTCCAAAGAAATCAGGCAAGCCCTTCGCTAAACGCCCGTGAAAACGATGAAAAATACGAATCTAACATCCAGCTTTTCTTAATTAAGACGTTGAAGAATAATCGACAGGGAGCATTCCGCACAAGAACAAAATCATCAGGGTATTCGAATTGGCACAGTCATGCTGCTGACTGCAAGCACTCGAACGAAAAGAAAAGCTACGTTTTTACACATAAAACGTAAGCAGCACTGGATTTTTACGACCCCGAAATCTCAAATGATATAAAACACATGCTATAATGTCGATGCAGTTATGGTTATAAGTTCTCTGTGACCCTTTACTAGGCCACACCGATTAACTGAAGTAACGCCTAATCAGCAGCTCATTCTAGAAATTATACTTGACCAGCGTCGAGATTATAGTACTTCCTAGTTGGCAATAGGATTTGAGAGGACTGTAACTTTGACTTCAATTGTTAGCGGAATATTCATAATTACAAGCGAATTCCCAATGTATAGTTAGACACAAGATTCCACCGAGCTTTTCACGAGATAAGCAGAATAGTTACCAAGATTATATACGATATAAGAGAGGCTCACGGCTTATCAGGCTGGTATCTCCTCTTTTTGGAGTCCTCGGCGCTGATTACTTCGGGGCCGCACACTGAATTCGTGCGCCGAAGACGAGCCTGAAAAATAAGGACGGAGTTTAAAGCTCATTTAGTTGCACATTAATATTGAGGCTCAGATGCCAGCCGGCAAAACGAACACATGTATTGCAAGTTTTTTCCTGCCTGCCGTGTCAAAATTTCAAACCGAGATGAGAAGACGAGCATGGATTAGCACGAACGATAGGGACATTTAATTAGATTTTTTTATCGTAGATTGATTACCTGACATTAGCGATAAGTAACTTTGTTCAGTTAATAGGCATAAAATTGTTTATCCTAGCGATGAATCGGATTTCAAATTTTCAGTCTGAAATTAATGAAATTGCATTGATTCCAAATCAAGGATTGGCGCTCACACATGAAATTTGAAGTATATATACCTATTCTAAATTGACAGTCAATTTGGTCAGCAAAATTATGACACGACTCTTTAGCGATAAAATTACGAAGTCAGGAAAATAATGTTTATATGTAAAATTATCATTACACAAGTATTTAATAAAAAAATTAATATTTTTGAAAGTAGTTATGAAACATTCATTTTTGAAAGTAATAGTGAAAGAATTCACGCTCATCGCTCATGCATGGAAAACCTAAACACATATTCATCATCAAAAGGTATCATTATTCAAGTATGAAAATAAGAAAAGTGTTGAACAAGGAAGTAGTAATGACTGTAAGTAACAATTATCGCAAGTCTCATGACGCAAACTCTGACCACAGCAAACAGCGGAGGGTGTTATCCTAAACAACTTGTACACGCGACAGCCTGCGCTGTACGAATAACACGTATAAAATGTCAGTCTGCATCTTTATATTCATCAATGCATGACTTAATTTGAACTTTATTTGAGTACATTTTGAAAAAGTTAAGGATTACCGTCTAAACAGAACCAAGTACTAAGCACTTCATTATAATTGTTGGAAATATGCGCAACAAGATAGAAGAGAGCCATATAACTTTCATGTTAAGCTCCGATGGGCCAAAAACCACTTCAAGTTGTGGAAAAGGAGCAGAAATAGAATGGAAGGCATTTGAACGATAGATCGAAAAATGATGATTGTACAAGCGTGAATTACGTCAGCCTAATGTCCATGAACAAGGTCACACATTCAAGGTAGTTTATTCAAGGGCCCCAGGGACTTTAGTTGAACATGTTCGTCGGATTATCGTTACCGTAGGTCATTGATTTATTCGAGACGAGACATTACCATCTTAACCTATATTTTTCATTAAAAATGTGATATTTAACAAGCCTAATAATCAGGATCACGAATAAAACTAGATTCAAACAGAGTAAGGTAAGGATGCCATGATGATCTTGCTGTTTCCAGCACTGTTCCTAAATAGGATTTAGGAACGACTTATTTAAAGCCTCGTACGGCAACAGCACGTTAGTGAAAAATCATTTCAGCATAGGTAGATACATTGCTACAACTGACATTGGTACTGCTTACTTAGTGCTTAGCGTCCAAGGCACTGCAGGAGCACAAATTGCTCGGTTAAAAGGCACTACAGGAGCACGAAATGATCGGCTACAAGGCATTATGGGGAAACAAAAAATGCTAGGCTACATGGCACTGCAATGGTACAAAATGCAAGGTTACGAGAGTTTTCTTTCGAGCACTAGAATGGCACCCTAGGAGGCTAGGAAGATTGAGACTGGAAAGAATATGCGATTAACATAACGGATAAAAACGGGCAGCTGGAAAGAGAGGTAATGAATAGGCCGCTTGTGGAGTTAAGACTGTGAGACGGTAACGAAGAAAAAGTACAACATTATGAATTACTGATCTGGATGAGTGAGAGACGAAGTGAACGGGACGAGTTAGGAATGAGTGACCAGTATAAGTGGGGACGAGTGAAAGGGCGGGTGACCAAGACGACTACGCACTAAGTTTTGGAAAAGAGGACTGATAAGAATATCGTTTGATGTTGGTTAGCCTAGCCTGATGTCTGCCTTGGGTAGCTGACTCTGTTACGCCGCTGCGTCGCATGCTTTGGTCGTATCCTGTCCTGCAGGAGCTAGTTTACCATGTTCGGAAATTCCGTAAAGCTAGTTAAGCTTACACGTCTGTATTCGTGGACTAATATGACAATTCCTAAATAAGCTGAGGTCCACACAGCGTAATCTAAAGATTTTCAGTGTATTTTACTTTTGGTCATTTTTTGTGTTAATTAATAAATGAATAAAATATACATTAATTAACACATATAATAAATAAATTTGTGTTGTTGTTAATTAGCAAAATTCGGGGAAGAAAACGATCAGGAACACTTCGGTACGAGAAGGATTTGATTGATATTATAAGCTAGTTGAAGCTATGCACACATAAAAGCAAATGATAAATAATGAGGAACACTAAGCAAAGTTTCGCACATGTTAAAAATATCTAAAGTCAAAGTTTACATCGGGCTTTCCTTCCTAATTTAGTTCATGCAGACCAAATGAAGTTGCGTCAAGCAGGTCAATCCAACAAAGTTTGAAACACTTAATTATTCATTATTACAGTCGAAAAATAGTTAAATTGACAGTCTTTACTGTAAGTTTATATTGTCCGATACGATAACTTCTAGTGTCACAAAATATAGGGAAATATTTTCAGCACGTTTCGGGACGTAGAGGAAAATATCTGACGAGAAGACTAATTAATAGAATCCTCCGCATTTTATAACCTTCAAGGCGCAGCGACAGTAGCTTAAAAATAGACGAGTCTCTAATGCTCATCAGGCTTTCAAAATGCTTTCCTCATTTCAATGAAAAACGTTTCGGTGAAACGGTTTTCCGTTTCACTGAACCGTTTTGGGTGATTTTTTTTTCAGATTTCACTTAGTGTTCCCTAGACGTCCGTATAGGCGTAGCCTATCTTAATGTCTTTCGAATATCATTCCTATAGCTACAACTTCGAACAAATTGCAACGAAAATGTAATAAATTATCAAATTAGTTGTCTGATTACCTGGTGAAGTCTGATATGAAAATATAGACTTGAAGTAAATAAAATCAAGAATATCATGTATTAGGTAGTTAACTAGGTACGTCAGTACGTGTATTCGTTAGCGTTAATTATATTTATTTTACATTTATTTATTTCTTATTCACATTGGAGTACACAACACGTAACAAATGAACAAAAGAATCATAGAAGTGACAAAAATTCCTAGGTAGTGAAAGCCCATACAAACAGCTTCGTGGTCGACCAAGTGAAGGTAGACTATTATGTACTGTAGGTAGGCTATTCGGTAGCCCGGATTCTTGCAGTACCAACTACTTTCAAGGTTAGGGATAACGTACACCCGGGTTGTTGCCGACGCCAATCGTCAAATTGACGTGCGTATTAAGACAACTAAGGCCCAATAGGTACCAGGAAAGGAAATATGCCAGGTATTCTAAATTTCGAATCAATCCCTAGTGATGTAGTTGGTCGAAGGTTACTTCTGAACGCTTGCGAATGCACTTGTCACGGTTTAAAGCATAGAATGAAAGAACAAATGTACAGTGTACACATAAACGGCAGGATGTCAATAGTGGCTCAGCTGTACTACTGACAGTAATACCTAAGCCAGATAAGATCGACAAAAAACAAATCTCACAGATATTTTGCATCCAAGTTCATGGGCAGCAGGAGTGTATGATTCGATTGAAGGCTATCAAGTAAATAAATATATAAAGACTAAAAGAGTAAGGTCAAGGTGCATCTTGCATGGCACTCCAAAACATACTTAACTATTTGTTAATTAACCAATACGTACTTTCTTCGAGTCATTTTCTGACTCGTCATCAGCATCTTCGTTTTTACATCTGTCAATTAACTTTTGCAATTTATCTTCCGCCTGTGTATTTCTTTGTCGAACGCCATTCTGCTCTGAATCCATCTCTCAGACGAGTTACTCACACCTATCACTTCCCAAGTTGAACGGGCACTGAGCCGGTCAAAGCTTGCGGGTGGTGGTAAGGTGCGGCTCACCACTACATCACCGAACGTATGAGATGCGACATCTAGTGTACAAACCCACATTTTAAAGAACCATTATAGCGACAATTTGAATCAGTCCAAAATTAAAAACTATTCTAATACAGCAGTATTTTCCTGAAGAAATAATAATGTCAATGGATAAAAAGTTAGAAAATATCAAGGAGATAACTGAATTAATGAAGGAAAATCAAGTTCACTTCAACAGCGCATGTGTTGAAGGAAAATCAAGTTACTTTAACAGTTCACTTCAACAGCGGTTCAACAGACCATGGGCCTATTTCTTCTGTGCCGACACTTCTATTCACTTCTATTCTAAGAATAAAAATTGATCGCAACAGAGCATAGGACTGATAGGAGTAGCCAAAATATATGGTTGATTTGAGGTTCCACTCAGCTGTGAGCGGCGCCAGCGGCGAGGGGCGAGGGGAGCGCAGCCGTGCACCACCAATTTTGTACACCAATAAGCCATGAATCGAACGCCTTGGATCTCTCCGGACATCCACCAATCAGCCGTGAACCACTCGGCTTTGTCTTCTTCCGGCCAGGCATAGAACCTGCCGTGCACCACCAGGCCGCGGTTCGAATCTGACTTCCAGGCATCGTTAAATTACGTAATTTTACGTTCACCGCATCTGAGGTTAGGTTTCAGATAGCATAGTTCTGTTCCAAAATTTATCGTCCTTCTACAAGTGGCCGTTCGACCGAGGGCTGGTTCGACCCACGGCCTAGATACGGACGGCTTGAAGTGTTGAAGGCTGCGTTCCGGAAGGCAGGAATCATGATGGTCCATTACATCCAGGGCAGTGGTGGTCTTCGGCAGGCGACCACCTGCCACCTGGCAAATTTAAGCTTTTAGGAACGTTTTCAGTTGTGATGTCAGTGACATTTTTGCGTAACGTGAAGTTGTGTTTTTTAACGTGAAAAACGATCATTAAATATAGACGTTGAATATAAACTTCTTTCTGATGGATTGCTTCCATTGATTGTGCCAGTAAAGTTCTTTTTCCACTTGCAGATGAATTCCAAATAAATTTGTAGCAGAATGGAGAAATCGTTTTGCCGAAATATGTCGCCAGACATTGGCATTTTTACTGTCATTACACTTTCAGGACTAAGTGTAGAGTTCCCGGATTTTTCAGAATGTTTTCGAGTTTGAGAAAGAACACGAGCCGTATGTAATGGACGCGATCTAGATATATATGTATATATAGGGCTATAGGACTGGCAGGAAAAGTGTTCAAGATTTCAAGCGAGAGCAACACATATGTTGCTGTACGTGTTACAACACTTCGCTCGATGTTATGATATATTGATGAGCTTAGAATTTTAGCGCAAACATTGTAGTTTTTACGTTAATGTCCTAGTTTTTATAATAATAAAAGAATAAATTTGTTTTCAAATGTATTAACATAACATAACATAGTGATGTCGGCGCTGAAGTGTAGGCCTGATGTGGCCTGTCGCCGATTCTTTTCCTTTTCGTGCCTTGAGAATTTCGTGCCACAGAAGATCTAATATCGTTTCATTTGACCGGATATTTTCATGACTGACGATAGTTTCAAGTAGCTACTAGATTTCCACCGGGTTCGATATGGTGCTAGGCATTTCAAATCTGAACATATATTTTTCCATTACGTTATTCACGATAGTTTAGAGTTGAGTTCGAAACGACGAGCTTGCAATGAAGTGAAAACTATTTATTTACCATTTACGATGAGCGAACATGGCATGAGTAAAGTTTTTTTTTCATTTGGTTGTATTTAAGATTTTTTTCACTCCTTAGCTTGTCTGGCTAAGGCGTCAATGAGGCTCGTTTTCGCCAAAAAGCTCCCAAGGGATTGATTTCGGCAAATGAAGTACATGAGGGTCAAAATGGAATACTTTTACGTCGAACTTATATTGTGGAAAATCTAGTGCACATTAATTCGACAATAATTGCTGTTACATAGCCCTGTAAATAAATTATTAACATGATATTTATTTTTTCATATCAAATTCAGCAAAGCAGTGCAATTGTCGACGGGCATAATTCTATTGAACGTATATTATTGACGTCACCTGATATACTGTGTCTGATTTACAATCGCTGCAAGTCTGGAATATGGCTTCTCATCTTGTCTCGATATTGTTTCACTGCCGTCGCTGCTGTTGCGATAATATTGACCGTACAGAAATGTAACAAACTTGTCGCTCGTAGATTGGATTACAGGAATCCTTGCTGACTCGATGAGTGTATATCGCGACCAGTATTGTTCGAAAATGGCCGCGGCCGTCCTGACTGTAAACCATGACGTGCGGTAACTGTGTCTTCAGAAGAACTCCTCTGGTGCGAAATTTAGCTGGGACTTTAATACGTAGTGCACACTTGTGGCTATACCCTCCAAGTGACGCCGAATTCCTCGACTCGTGCAATTTCCCTCGCGATAAGCTCGCCATCGTTCGATGCATCGAACGATGGCGTTCGATGCACTCGTTCATGAGAACGAGTTTGTTCTCATGAGAACAAACTCGGCCTTACGGTCGCGAATCATCTACACCACGTCGTTTTAAATTCCTAAATCATTTCAACATCTGCGCCCTAACTTTTAGAGAAATTCATTAATTAAGTAATTTACTAATTCGCCCTCAATCTATGTTCTACACAAACATCGATTTAAGTCGAAATTTTTATTGATGCATACGTCCTCGTTTGTACGTTAAAAACGTAGCAGATGCTGGCGCAGAACGGGTTGTTAACTAGACACGGAGAGGATTAGTTCTCCAGAGTAACGAGTTACTTGCATCGGATCTTAGTGAAATTTAATTAATAAATGTTGAGAAATTATTATATTCTGTCGAGAATGTGCAAGGTACATGAGCAGCTCATGCGTGTGAAGAGGTATCCAGCGTACAGTTATATGGATGAAAAGGTAAGTGATGTAATCCAATTAGCATGAGTGAGTGCAATTTAGCAAAGCAAAATTATATTATGAGTTGTCCTCTTGCTGTATGATCTTTAATTTGTATTTAAAATAATTAATCGGCAATGAACATCTAAAATAAAGACTATTGTAAGTAAGGTTTAAAAAATTAAACTTGTTCTAAATCCAACTTCTGATGTACACGTTCTCTGCATGTTTCACATAACCTTTACTCTGAGCGCGAGTCGTTGGGTATGTTTGGGTGAGGGTCAGTAGTCAGCCAGGCAGCACAGCGCTAGGGTGTGATGTGTCCTCGTGTGGCCCGAGTGACTGGTGTTCGTTTGCCACACGAAACGTCGCTGTTGGGCTACTGAATTCTTGAAATAAATATCTAACATATTTTTATTGAGGCAATCCTAATTATACAGTATGAATTTCTTTAATGTTCATTGACAGGCATAGAACCAATGATCGCAAGTTGCGTGCCCCCTATGATGAAACTTACAAAACCAAATAGAATTTCATAATTGAATATTATGCTTCGAGCGTCAGGGGAATCTAGTGGCCAAAAATTTGAATTTTTGGAAACATAAATGTAATAACATTACGTTATTTGCAGCGATATGACACAATACATTCATTTTATGCTACCTGCAAATAGAAATTGGTGTCTGTAGTAATTCGAATAACTTGTTAACATGGTCGCTGCTTTTTTCGCTGACCACAGATCAGGATTTACACTTGCGATTGCCCACATCATGTCACTAGTTGCAATGTGATTGCTGCAGTGACTTGAGTTACGTACCGGCATGCCTTTAGTTGTACGGAGCCTGGACCACTAGTCAAATGAAGCAGGATTACTGGGCAACTTTGGGATTGAAATTATCGAGAAATCAATCATCATTCAATAATTGCCACTCATGAACAAAATTATTTAAACATTTTAAAGAGGAAAATGAATGTTTTCTTCTCTCCAAATGTTTTTCCATCCGAATGTTTTTCTTAAACCGAAATGATTGAGAAGTCAATTTTCAGTATCTATAGTTGCAACTCTGCGAACAAAATGACTGAAAAGTCAATCATTATCAGATTGCCACTCCCGTAATGAGATTATTGTGAAGTAAATTATCAATCAATGTCAACTTTAATCGTCCGTCGCACAGCGAGACACCTTGGTTGGAGTTCACCGCGTAGGGCTTGTAGGTCTAGGCAATAATTTACGAAACTGTAATAACTTTCAATTTAAATATTTTTTCGGACATGACTCATTCAATCGAAATGTTATTTTGATTCAGAGCCTGCGCAAGTTGAACATGATCTGAATATTGTAAAATCATACGGAGCATATATTCATCTGATTAATCTTATCAATCTCTTCATATGAATCTTAATGCGTCCGATTGTCGCCAGGCGAATTATCGTCATGTACCGCTGTCATGGGCTCTCTTATCTATAGAATTTTTCTTATTATTGCGGAGTAACGGACGCCCCTAGGCAAAGTCAATTAGGCCATTGGTCCTACGAATTGTTGAAGGGGTTTTCGGTCATTTTGATGTTGATGCATTGAGAAGTATTTTCATATGTTGAACATCAATTATTTCCCCCAAGCTTGATATTTCACAAATAAAAATTTTTGTTACATGTAATGGTTCCAAAACTCCGCTTCGAGTTCAATCAGCTGTATGCCAGGGCCTTACATGTGGTAGTAACAGTTTCAGGCTGTGAATCATTTTATGAAAATAATTCAGGCTGTAAATTATTTGTGAATAATTATTTAGATCTTTTTATCTCACGACTACAGTATATTTTTGCTGCACAACTTAAGGCTTTGTCAACGATTTGCTTCAGTTGTCACACGCTTACTACAGTTAGCGCTAATGATCGGCTTTTTGGTAGCGTATATTCGTATAGTAATATATAATGTTAGTTAATGGAAACTATAATATTTTGTTTTAATTATTGGTATACTACGGGCGCCTGGTTTTACGCCGTAACTAAACTGAACCTCCAAGTGTAGCTTCTCGATTAGAAAAACTTGGAAACCACTAATTTATTGGTTGCAATATTTATGTTGTTATTCTTTTTAATAATAACTTATGAGTAAATAGAGTGGGCTGGCATACAAGGCATATTAACTTCAAGTCAATTGATTATTACAAGGAATGACTATGAATTTTCACAGATTTCTGAGAGAAATTGTTGGCATGAAATCTCTAAACCAAAAGGCAGAAAGACAAATTAAAAGAAAATTATTTTTGATTAAAAAAAAACTGCAAAAAAATTCCATCAATCGGACTGTCAGTCGTTTTTTTACAAAAGTGAACTTTGGGAAGTTATATATGGTCAATTATCCTGCCATAAGCTCAAAAAAAAACTTCCGAATTTGAACAAATTTTTTTACCAATTCAACTTTGATGATTACAGATTCCTTGCTTGTGATTTGAAATTAAGTCCAATGAGATATTTATCCACATATGTCCGATTTTTCTAGTTATATAAAAAAATATCGTGGATGCATTGTTATCTAGCACCTGTTTGCCAACAGATGAAAATAAATAAAAACCAGGAAATATTTTTTTGGACTATATCTTAGACTTGACTACAATTTTTCACAACTATTTAAAAAGTAGACCTGCAATCAGTGTGTGAGGAGATCTCGACGTCAGTGTCTGCGACGTACGCATATGACGTGAGAAGTTTCAGCCGGGCCAAGTTTCACACCCCTCGTGAAAATGTTGGACACATCTAAAGTTTCGATTCTGGACCAGAATTGTTCTGTGGTGTTGCACGCCGAGTACGGACCTGGGAACAATGACTGGCAAAACACGACCTTCAATGAATCTTCTGTGCTGGACTACGCCGACGAATTACCAAGCATCAATTGCACAAACTTCGAGCACTGGAAAACTGACAATTCTTGTAACATCACAGACCAACTTTGCATCTGCACTCGTCAGTTGTACATGCACGCGTGCATTGCTCTATACCAGACTCAATATATAGAATACTACACACTTCTGTACAGGGTCATAGGGACGTTATTCCAGGGGGTGATACTTGCCATCGGAGTGCTTGGAAATGTGTTGGTGGTGATCGTTGTAACACGTAACAAGAATATGTCGTCACCAACGAACTGTTATCTCGTTAGCCTGGCGGTTGCTGATTGTATAGTTTTATTAGCCGCAGTACCACAAGAGATATTGGGTTATTACTTGGTTCTTGGTCAATGGATACACGGTCAAGTGGGATGTGCTTGTTTGGTTTTCTTGCAACATTTAGGCATCAACGCAAGTTCATTGAGCCTGACAGCGTTCACAATTGAGCGGTACATAGCAATATGTCACCCGATGAAGGCACAGAGTATGTGCACCGTCGAACGAGCTAAAAGAATCACCCGCGTGGTATGGCTGTTTGCTGTTTGTTACTGCGGACCTTGGCTCTTTCTCACCGAAGTGGTTTCTTTCGACCCTGAGCTCAAGTTTGAAGCTCAGGAGTGCACCTACAAACTATCCAGAGATCAGTATTTGTATTACTATTTCCTGGACCTGATAGTTTTCTACGTGGTACCCCTGCTGCTGTCTTGTGTCGTCTACACCCTCATCGCCAGAATTCTCTTCAAATCATCCATCAGAGGCAAGACTCACCAAACATCCATCGAAACTCACACAATTGACCAAAAACGACCGAACGCAGCTCGAATTCAGGTGAGCTGCTAACTTAATTAATAACATGCAAAATATCAATTCAGTGATTTGATTTTAAATTGCACTTAGTAAGAAATGCGATAATATGCGATATAATATAGTAGAGAAGATAGAAATAAAATGAGTACAACTCAGGTCAAAAGCATAGTAAGTTTTGTTAGCAGTAAATGCTACAAAAAAGTGAATGAAAGTTAATAAATATTTTAGCAGAAATTCATCATATTGCCGTTGGTATTAGGTAGAAATGTAGATTTAAACATCTCTCGCCCGGTTTCTATTTTTCGTGGAGAACCCTTGATAAGCTGACACTCCGTCACTTTTATTAGCTATATTTGCAGCCACAAGGCATGAGGTCGCCATGTGCATTAACGCGGTATCGCTTCAGGTTGACTCTTCGTCAACACTGAAGATATTGGCGCTGTGTTCTGACCTCGACATCAATTTAGCCCCTTCTCGGATAACGGATAAAGTATTGCCTATGCTCTTCATGGAGCAGGTCGAACGATGACAGTCTTGGCTTCTTGCGCCCTGGCCCTACAAGAGAATAAAATACTTTGGGATGTACACGTGGAAATTCACACGTGGACCGTGAGAATTCAGCTGAGCTCAAAGTTGTGCTGTGGCCGTAACTTTAAGCTACCCTCATATAATTGGCTGTTTTTGTTTACAGAAACTGTGGTTTAGGGCTAGTTCATAGAAGAATTTTAGATAATTATCGTCTGGCTGGTGCCCGGATTCAAGCTACATTCTCACGCAACTAGTTAACTTCCAAAAAATCATTTAACTCCATAAAAATGACAATTTACCATTGGAATTCCGGCTAAAATCTTACGCGTGGATGGCGCAACACGAACTTCAACTCTAAGTTCAGTTCAAATTATATAGACGAATCACTTCGCACGAAGTTCAGGTTCAGCTGGTAGATTCTATGCGTATTGTCACGTTCACCGTCTCGACACTTTTTGGCCAGTTGTAAAGCAATGTCTGACTATAGGCTTGGTCGACACCTCAGATGCCTGACGTTCCTCATATAAGATCTCTTATTGTTAGTAGATTATTCCTCTCGATTTATTTATTTTAGTCCCGAAGATTTTTAAGTTTGTTGTACTTTATTTTGATTGATCGAGATTGCAGAAATAATGACAGTATCAACAAAAGGCGAGCAGTTCACTGCGTTATTCAAAGCAAACGATATAATCTTGCAGAACGGGTAATTTCTTGCGGTTCCTAAACTTGGTCAGTTCCAGGGTAATTTATTTAACGTTATTCAACTACAAAGAATTTTTTATGAAAAAGACAGAATTGTGGATAACATTAAATATGTCTTCTGTTTTGAGATATAATTCAATAATATACTTTAATCTAGGGGTAGTTGGACAAGGATTCATTTATTGAACTATCCGTTTCTTGAGAGATGCTATGAGCTTTTACATTAATTAATTGCTTTAAAATTGTTACACTTCTCAATTGCTAAAATGCTGCAAATACGGGTATGCCCGAAAATACCGAACTTGCATGTCCTCCTTGCCTGACTTTGTACTGTAGATGAGCTTGCAAACACCAATAAAAGATACACGTGACAAATAGCGGGACTTTAACCCAAGCTGCTCGCTAAGCTCGACCAGTAACGACTAACGTTATCTACAAACGCGATTACCTTGCGTTCACGCAGCCGCGGTCTTTGAGTCATTTCGATGATTGCTCTTTACATCGGCAATTAAATGGTATTGTTGACACGCAATTTCCGGAGAATATCTAATCAATTTGTTCGCGAATTATCTGCAGTGCAGCCTTTGCATTCAACGATAATTGTGGTTACTTCGACGTCAATTTGATTTCCTACGATAAATTTTTAAGCGAAATTAAGGCCTGGCTTGAAATAATTTATTACCTATGGCTTGCAGGTACCATTTCTCGGGTAAAGTTTAAGAATTGATGGCCTAATAATCTTAAGAAAAACATGTCCGGAAAATGTGCGCAAATTATAATCTTGCATAATTATAATTAATTTAATGTTTATAATTTATTCAATGCCAAAAGGGTAAAATTTGCCGTGACGTCAAATCAAAAATTTCCACCTGCTTATTTCGCCTCATATTGGAGCGGGCCAATCTTGGCCGCGCTGTTAGTTTTCTTCAGCAGCCGCACCTCTCTAACGGAGAGTGAAGAGAAAAAGTATCCGCAGATAGTTATCGCTGGAACTGGGAAGCAGCGGATCGCTAGTAAGCCTACCTACCTTTGACTGACCTACCAAACTTTGTAATGTCTATAAATATCGATATATAATGTCCATATATTGTCTGTACTTGTAAATCGATACGCTTTTAGTTTATAGTCCTATGTTTGGCAGCGGATTCTCCATGAAATTTAAATATACCGTGTGGCCTTTGAAGATCCGTTGATCCATTTTGATTCATCCTCGTACGTTAGGGCCCTCTTGCAGAGACCCAGTAACTTAGTTGCATGCAGGGTAGTTCTCCCGCTACAATATGTTGCCAGAAGTGTACGGGTTCACCAGCTGTGCCCAATGCACTCTCCCACGAACCTCATTCGAGGCGACGAAGAAAAGGCCGTTTCCAGGTCATCACTGCATGACAATATTGTCCATAAATGGATAGAATAGAATAGAAGTGTCGGCACTGCAGAAATAGGCATATGGCCTGTTGCCGTTTCTTGTACTTTTCGTGACTTGATTCACAAGGGATCCGGCCTTTTGAACCCGATCTTTCCATAACTGACGATCGATTAAGATACCTGCTGGACTTGTTGAAAGGCTCGTATGTTTCAATTGCAAATAATACGCTTCAAACCTCCAGTACTTACAAAGCACTGAAGACAAGTTAGATTAAAAGAAATTTACATAAAGCACCTTGAGACTGCAAGTTCTGGTTCACTATACGCTTATTTTGAAAGTTCGTCACATATGTTGAGAACCTGCTTTCGAGCAAGAAAAACGGGGAAATTAAATTAAAAATTTTCTTAAAAAAATAAACGTGCTAAAGTGAAGAGTCAGTTCAATATGAAGACGAATAAAATTTGATGTGTTCGTAAATTAAATTTAATTAATGCTTTTAATTGACTGAATTTACGTACATTGCCCTAACTATAGGAAGCTAAAATTAAAAGAAAAATTTAACATCATGGCCAATGAAACAATTCCGATGAGTTTATTCAATCATTAATTAGCGGATTGCCGCAGGGATTCAATAGGAAAGTCATGTCACCTGCATGTCACTAGTTTCATGCATGATATTTTGTCGCAAGTATCAGAGATATTGATCGAGTTATTTTTTATTATACTTGTTTCTAGTCATCCCGGCCATGGCTGAAGTAGTATATGGTTGTAGCTATATCTAATCTGCAATGTATGTATGATACGAAGTAAAAGATTTAGGAAGGAAGTACAATATAATTTGATGTAATAAATCATGACTGGATGTTCGCATGTCGTTTGTCTTTTTTTGTATATATTAATTATGCTATGTTTAATAAAAAACCTTTTGATTAAACAATGGCTGACGGCTGGATTTTGTAGAAAAGTTTAATTTGCTGATTACAATATAAAAATTCTAAAGACTTCGGAGGCAATGGCTGTCCATAATTCGTGCTGAATAACCTGGTAATTATGACGCAGGAAACTCAGCATGATAATGACTAGTTCTACGAAAATTACTGCCTTAATGACTGCCCCACTAATGACGAAATTATGCAGAGTTATATCCATGCCCAGTGAACTAAAGAGACTATAACGACAGCCGCGATTCTAAACAATAATAACGCGGCTGTAAATTCTTCGGCCAATCAATGGCAGATTTTCGAAGAAATTTAACCCTGTCAGTTGCAGACGTGCTCGAAGCAACAACTTAAGCCTCGATTATAAATGTTAATGAACCATATCAGACGCAAAAGTGAAATAAATTTTTATTATAATAGAAGAATTTACGATTACTATCAGACTATCATAGAAATTACTTCGGAAATTTGATTATCAATGTATTTATGGACTCGAAGGAATTAACAGCCCATTGATCGTTACCTATTTTCCAAAGAATATTGTTAATCACAAACGTACAATCAAAAGTTGTGATCATTAAGAAATGCATGATCCCTGCGACAAGTTTTTATGACCTAAATGTGAACTTCATCGTCAGAGCTGTTTTTTGAAGATTATAATGGCACTCTAATGTTATGATAATGAATTTGGGTTTATAATTTTGGAGGGGTTAGCTCCAAGCCTACTAGTGCACTCCATGACGTTGTTCCACCTCAAACTTGCGACAGAAATCTATAAATCTAAGCAAGAAAAATACAAAATTTTATATATCTGTTTATCCATCAATTTTAAATTTGTCGTCAAAGTCCCAATCGTTGCTGCAGTCGGTAGCAGGAATTATTGACAAGTTTTGCGCCCCTCCAGGCGCAGGGTTTGACTGCACTCTGCAGCGCTTAAGTCAACTTGTACTGGAAAATATTTTCTAGCTTTCTCTTGTGAAGCGACTATTTATGTGTAGTATTCTGAGTAGTAATTATATCTTCGCTTAGAAGCAATGAAGAAAAATAACATCAATTATGTCACTCAGTTCCATTTCTCTCCTGAAGCAACAATTTGGGTAAATCACTTTTCCTGTTAAGTTTGTGTACTTACATACATTAAAATACGATTTTTCAAGTGTACGAATATTTATTTCCCCCCACTGTATATGGTATTGATGACACGCAATTTCCAGAGAATATATAATCAATTTGTTCGCGAATTATCTGCAGTGCAGCCTTTGTATTCAACGATAATTGTGGTTACTTCGACGTCAATTTGATTTCCTACGATAAAATTGTAAGCGAAATTAAGATCTGGCTTGAAATAAATTATTACCTATGGCTTGCAGGTACTATTTTTCGGTTAAAGTTTAAGCATTGATTGCCTAATAATCTTAAGAAAAACATGTTGGGAAAAAGTGCACAAATTATAGTCGTGCAGTGTTTATAATTTATTCAATGCCAAAAGGGTAAAATTTGCCGTGACTTCAAATGAAAAATTCCCAACTGATTTTTTAGCCTCACATGTTGCCAGAAGTGTACGGGTTCACCAGCTGTGCCCAATACACTCTCCCACGAACCTCATCCGAGGCGACGAAGAAAAGGCCGTTTCCAGCTCATCATTGCATGACAATATTGTCCATAAATGGATTGAATAGAATAGAAGTGTCGGCAGTGAAGAAATAGGCATATGGCCTGTAGTCTATTCTTGTACTTTTCGTGACTTGATTCCACAAGGGATCAGGCCTTTGGAACTCGATCTTTCCATAACTGACGATTGTTTGAGATAGCTTGATAGTACATGGTTGTTGACTTATTGAAAGGCTCGTATGATAAAATTGCAAATAATACGCTTCAAACCTCCAGTACTTACAAAGCACTGAAGACAAGTTAGATTAAAAGAAAGTTACATAAAGCACCTTAAGAGACTGTGGATTCTGGATCAGTATACGCTTATTTTGACAGACCGGCATA